CATAAATAAATAAAAATTAAAAAAAAATTAAAAAAAATTTAAAATTTTTTATTTATTTATCCATAGAGACACAGAGAGAGATCAAACCCTGGGCTGCAGGCGGCGCTAAACCGCTGCGCCACCAGGGCTGCCCGGGGCCACTCCCATCCTGCACATCTCCCTCTCCACTTATCACTGGCAGGCCCCCAACACATTTCTTGCAATCCCAAGTCTGTTTTGCCACCGGCTGCTCAGAAGACTCAAACTGACACCTTAGTTCAAGGCTGCATCCCCAGCACACAGAAGGGTGCCTCACACCTAGGAGGCACCCAATGAAATCTCCCGGGTGGACACGAAGATTCAGTAGGCATTCAGTAAATGTGCGTTGACCCAAGCAGACAGCAAAGCAGCTATGAGCCGGCCTTCTGCTGGTTCACCTGAGAGTGAAGTTCCTCCGCCACATTGGCTGGAGCCCTTTGCCAATGAAAACAGGAATGGAAAGTTAGAAGCAGACCTGCCCCAGCCGCTGGGCCCCCTTCCTGCCACCTGCAGGGTGGGGGCTTCCTGAGCCCATGGAGGGCACAGAGGGAAACATCTGCTCCCGGCCATCAGCAGGCTTCACTGGCATGGACATCCTGCCGGTCCCAGTGCTGGGAGCCAGGACTACTAACAAGGAGCCTGCTAGGGCTGGCACCCAGGGCAGCGTGTGCCCCCCTCAAAGCCCACTCAGCCGGATGGGGTTTGCTGACAGTGACTCTTATTTTCCCAACAGCAGCTCCATCTGCGGAGATATTTTCACGGCCACTTAGGACCCCTACTCTCCCTGCTTTAGCCAGGAGGCAAGGACAGCAGCCTCCTAATGGCCTGTTTGTTTACAGCACAACCAGAGCCTGCTGTAGGGGCTTGTGTTGTGTCCTTCCCTGCAGCCCTGGGCTGTGAATGCTGTGAGAGCATGTGACAAACAGTGTGTATGTGATGTGCAGCGTGAGTCTCAAGAGCAGGTAGTGGATGGGTCAGTGAGGAGCTGCAGGTGGCTCAGGCCACAGGGACAGACATGAGGGAGTTTGGTCTGAGAGGCAAGGAGGAGGCACCAGCAGGAGCAGAACTGGAGGAAGCCACAGATGACTCTAGATTGTTCCAGAATCATCTGGATGATTCCTTCTTGGTAGAAATGCTGGCCTTTATGCAGACTTGGAGGGGATGAGCTGGGAGTGTGCCCCACCTGGCAAAGGATGGCGATAAGCAGCTGTGTTGATTGTACTTAAGAAAGGTGTTGCTGTCAGATCAGAGAGCTATAACTGGGCCACATTCTCGAGGTTTCAGGAAGGAGGAATGTGAGAGGGGCATGTCAGGGAAGTGGATGGGGACAGTGGAGGTAGGAGTCCTGGATGGGGTCGTGAGCAAGGCAAAGGGGTACTTGGAATTTGCTCTTATGGGGACAGGGGTGAGAGGATGGCTACCTGGTTTCACACAAAAGACCAGAGAGACTGGGATGGAAGGAGAGTCAAATCTGGAAAGAACAGCAGGTCAGTCTGAAGAGGGAGGCCAAGGAATAGAGCTTAAGAGGGGGATTTCCTAACATAGAAACCAGAAATGACAAAGGAAAAGAAGGACAGATCTGCTTACATCAACATGAAAACCTTCCAAGTACCAACACCAAACAAAACACGTAAATCCCCCTCCACCCGGCTGAAAGTAAAATGATCAGCTGAGAAAGTATTTACAACCTATCGGCCATGACGAAGGGTTAAAATCCATTATGTTAAGAGACCTTACAAATCAGCAAGAAGAAAGCAAACAGATAGCAGTTCGAAAAAGGACAAAAAGGCCACGTGCAGAAGTGCCCACGGCCATCCAACAAAACGTCAAACGTGTAATCCTGGATCAAAGAGGCAGGAAGCAAAGTGACAAGGTGCTACTCTGCCCATCAGGCTGGCACAGATTTAAAAGCGTATACCCAGTATTGCCAAGGATGTGGGGAAAGAACCCTGTGGGGGAGACTATAAATTGGAGCAGTGTTTTTGGTGGGCAACTTGGCAATATCTATCAAGTTACAGAATTATCATATGTACTTTCCCTTTGATCCCAGAGTCCTCATTCTCTGCAATACCAGGAAGTACCCAGGTGTTACCTGTCCCCACACTGGTCCTATGCCAGAAGGTGGAATTCTCCGATTGTCCTAAGAAGATCTGGGCCCTAGGGCGAGTGTGTATTTCTTAGTGACATAAAAGGGTCATCTGCCCCTTGCAGTCAAACCTCTGTGAGCAGGACCAGGTGGCCCTGTTGAGGGAGAAGCTGGGAAGAGAGAATCCTATTGTTTCACTTAGCACCAAACTTGTAGACCTGGTTATAACTATATTAGTTAGAAGTTGTACCCAGCTGCCAGTAGCAGAGACCTGGAAAATAGTGGCTTAGATAAAATAGAGTTTTATTTTCACAGGTCACAGAAGTCAGGGATTCCCTGATTCGTAGGGTAGTTCTAGAGCATCATCAGGAACTCTCAATCCTCCTTCCTTTCTGCTCTATTATATTTAGAGTTTGACTCCATCCTCAAGGTCACAAAATGGCTACTGGAGTGCCAGCCATCATACATATATTCCAGGCAGGAAGAAGAAGGAAGAAAACAAAAAGGATACACACTGGATTTTTGGGAGCTTTCCTGGAAGACCTGCCCTGCGACTTCTGCTTATATCTCATCAACCACCTTTCTTCCCTTGGGAAGTGCGAAATGAAGTCTCCTGGCTACTCACCTACTCACTCTGAGCAAGCTCTTGCTCATCATCCAATCCCAGTTTCCTTTTACCTTATTTGGGATATTGAAAGATAAGGATGCCTCTGATGTTTGCAATTGCTAAAAGCAAGTCAGCTTGGTTTCTGAAACAAAATGCTTTAACAACAGGGGCTTTGCTAGTGTTTCTGGTTCTCTTCCTTCATCATAGACACGCAGTGTACCCTTGGGAAGGGGGCACAGGCCTTTCCTTAAGAACACTAGAGCCTAATCACTGCAGGTGCTTGCTGAGATAAGAAAAGGTTCTATTACATGGTAAGGTCAGGTGGTCCCACGCTCTGTGAGACGGGGAGGGAGGAGATTTATGCATGAATCTTAGGCTGGTTCTGCAAGTGAGCCCAGGAGACAAATGTTTGTGTGCCTGTGGTTTATTCAGAAGCCCCGGTTTCAGCCTGAGAGAAAGTTCCTTCAAGGGAGGGGAGTGGGGCTTTCAGACTTCTGTGCTTGTCATTCATTAGTTGAGTGTCACTGGGGCAGGGGTGGAGGAGAGGCAGCTCCCAGGCACGCCCAGCCCTGCCTGTAGGGAGAAGTGGCTCCAGGAGCCCCAGGGTGTCCTCGGGGAAGGGTGCAAAAGTAGGTGGCTGCAGGGAAGCTGGGCGGTGTGGGGGGTAAGGGTGGGGGAACAGGTGCCTTATGTGCCCTATTTACATTCCCAACACTCCTGAGAGGTCAGATGGAGAATCTGAGGCTCAAGGAAGGAGAGTGACCTGGTCAAGGGTCAGAGCTGGGGCTCTAACCCAGACCTGAGTGCCACGAAAGCCCAGGTTGCCACTAAAGCTTCTAATTCCTTCCTTGGTTGTTCAATAGCTTGACAGGTCTTGGTTGCATGCCTCCTGCATGCAAGGCCTGGGCCTCGGGCCTCCAGAGGGGAGGCTGCCTGCTGCTGGTGCTCCCGCGTGTCACCAGCTCCCAGGCTGAGCCTCGGACTCATCTGGCCATTTCTCCTCTGCGAGGTCACCATCTCTGATGGAATCCAGGCAGCTGGTTCTGGAGACTCTGAGCCACCTGGGGAGTGGGCTCCTGGAAGGTGGGTGGTGAGGTCCCACCAAGGGAGGTCCAGGCAAAGATGGGCCGAAGACGTCTGTGGTTTGACGCCAGCGTTAACCAGGCCGGGACCCACTTCCCCTTGGAGCGAAGCAGGTGACTCACTGAATGACGCGGCCTACAGCTCAAGAAGGGGGCTCTGGCGGAGGCCTCAGAGCCGTGGCTTCTGACACAAGGTGGAAGCTCGAGGGCGGCGGCTGGTGCACAGGCATCCAGGGCTCGGAGCCCTCACACATGCCAGCCTCACCGGGGTGGTGCTGCTTGCTGCCTGTGTGACCTTGGGCAAGTTAACGGAGTTCTCTGGGCCTCCACTTCCTTTCCGTACAATGCAAGAAGGTGTCTCAGAAGTGGGGGTGCCCCGCACATAGTAAACACCCCCCCCCGCCCCAGAGTGGATGAGGATGAGTGTGTGGGCGTTGGCAGGACTTGTCTGGAGGTGGATGGCCCTTCCTCCCTGGCCTTGGGGAAGGCTCCCAGACGCTTCCCTCTAGGCTTCCCCGCTCGGGGTCCCTTTCCCTCAGAGTGCAGCCCTCCCCCCTGGCCTGGCCACACCTCACCCATGTGGATGCATCCGTGACAGGTGGCTCCGGCCTTCTTGCACACAACTAAGGACAATAATAGTGGGAGCTAACAGTTCTCGAGGGCTAAGGATGGCCTGGGTGCCGTGTCGGAGAGCGTTTTCTACAGATTTTCTCATCTCATCCCCCACCCCAGCCATGTGGCTCATTCACCAGCTCCTGGTGGCCCAGGGGCTCTTGGGCCCTGCTGTGCGTCCTGCCCATGTGCCCCAGGCTATGTGCTGGTGGGGGGTGCAGGAGAGTCCCAGGCCCAGCACCCACTAAGGGCTGAGCACAATGGTTGAGCAAAGGAAGGAAGGAGCAAATGTGTGAGGGAAAATTCTGTTCTGTGGGAGTCCTTGGCCTTCTCGTGTCAGGTGACAAGCTGTTCTTGGGGGATTGCTTCCCAGTGTTCTGGGCAATGTCCAGCCAGAGAGGAGCCTAGCAGCTGCCTGGCACTGGCATGGGTGAGGAGGCCAGGACCACCAGGGTTCTGTAGCCGGACTCCTGGCCGCGACGGTGGGCTGGGTGGGAGGGGTGCTCGCCAGGCTCCCAGCACCCCCACTCCCCGAGTTCTCTCCCTCTTCTGGCTTCCTGCCCGGCCCAGGGCTGCCCACAGCTAGCTGCGCCCCATGGGCCCTCGAGGGGAGCCCAGCCCAGCACGAGGGCCACAAGCAGGGGAGGCCCTCAAGGATGCTGGTCAGTGCTATGACAGGGGACCCTGCTGGATGTGGGGGGCTGTGGCAAGCGGGAGGGAGGTGCTTTTGGTGGCAGCCGCTGCTGGTCGGGAGTCATGTGAGCATGGAGCCCAGGTCGCGCGGGCCCACCTCTGGCCCCTTGTGCTGTGTGGTGTGGCCCCAGGCCTACCCGCTCTGTCCTTGGTTTCCTTCTCTGTGAAATGGGATGGAACGGGGCTACTACGGGGAGCCCCCCGGATTCCACGAGCCTGACCAGGCGTCAGGCAGTTCTTGGCCCTGTCCCTTCAATGAGCTCAGGTAGGCTTCCTAACTCGAGGGGACGCAGATGCACAGAGAGGCAGAGTAACTGCCTGGTCCCCCAGCTACTAGGTGGCAGCAGTGGACACCGTGGGTGCCCTGCCCTCCCCCTCCCCCACAGGACCCATCTCTTCATGCCAAAGACAGGGGACACTTGAGACCGCTCCTCAGGGCTTTTTCCAGCTGCAAAAGCAGGTGAACAGAAACAGCTAGGGAGCCAGGGAGTCACTGCCCAGGAAGCAGTTCTCAGCCACCAGGGGTGCGGGATTGGTGGATAGCAACCCCAGCTCTGCCCTTCACTTGGGGGGCATTGTCCACGCTTTCTCCCAGGGCTCCACGGCAGGCCCGAGCCCCAGGAGCCAGGCGGTGATGGCCTTGATGGCACACAGTTCGCTGGTTCCTTCCCTGCCCTGCCCTGTGTACCTGCTCCCTGACAGCACCTTCCAGATCAAGTCCTTGCCCCTGAACCCTTGTTCCAGGGGTTTACTCTGCAGAAGGTGGGCTCCACAACCCATATTCCTCAGCACAATTGTGGTACCACCCGTTCAGAAGGTGAGGCTGAGCCCTCAGGAAGAGGGTACCACCCAGCAGAAGCCAGAGTCACCTGTGTGCTGTCATCTGGGGACAGGAAACCATCCTTGCAAGGTCCCTCTTGACTCCTACTTTCCAGCACTTAATATAGCTGCAGGCAGCCTGACTAGTGTCATTCCCTCAGTGACAATGAAACGTTTCAAGAAGATGTAGGTACAAGGTTCCCGAGCCTCTGAGATCCTCACAGAGACCTTCTTTCTGGCCCCTCACCCTCTACCTGTCTCATAGTATCCCTCACTGATGAGAGGCTTTTAGTTTCCACTTGCATACCTTCAGGGACAGGGGGCTCACTACCTATCAAGATCACTTCTCTAATCATTTGAAAGCTTGTCTCTCTACTGAGTCCATGTCTACCTCTCCACTAGCCTGGTTCTACCATCTGGATGGCAATGAACATCCTATTGGCGTGGAGGAGCCAGGGCCCAGGTAATGCGACTCCTGAGCTGTCACTGTCACTTCCCTTAGGTCTTCTTGGACTGCTGAGCTTCAGACAGACCAGGCACTGCAAGCCTTCACTTCTTCCTCCTCCTCAACATGAGCACATTCTCTGCTTCTGAATGCACTAGGCTGCTTTGAAGTATTTACATGTCACATGAATACAGTTACATAAATATTACGTGTGCATGATCTTAAAGATCATAAGTACGGAGGTTTGAAGGTGAAAAGAAGTTTCTTTTTCTTTGTTTCTTTCTTTCTTTCTTTTTTATTTTTTTTAAATATATTTGAACGTGGGACATTTTCAGAAGAGTGACAGGCGTAGGTGGTTCTGTTTCGGAAACCTGCCTTCCCTGGCTTCTCAGCTCAGCTGGACGGCTGCAGGATTAATCAGTTGAAAATCTGCTTATTCTCTCCCCGATCTGGGTTTAGAGCTCACGTTGCAAGCACAAGCCCACATTCCTGATGTCAGAGAGTGGGCTTATTCTACGATGATGGGTACCCACGCTTAGAGAGGGTCCTTAAGAAGCAGGCGCTGGCAAGACAGAGAGACCTCCCACGCAGAGCTTATGGTCTAGCAGGGGAGCAGGCTGCCAGCATCACCTGTCACAGGAGTGGCCAGAGCCCCCAAGGAGGGAGGGCTGCACAGAACTCCAACAGCTCATAATGGGGATGTTTGTTCTAGTCTGGGCAAAGGTTTCCTAGAGAAAAGACTTTGTTCTATTTTTACTTTTGTTATTGTACAAACTATGCACCCTTAAGTAGACAGCTTGGTGAACTTACCAGTGTGTACCACCATGCCACCACCATCGTGACCAAGAGAGAACATTTCCCCTTGAAGGTTCCCTATGCCCCCCCACCCCAGGCCAGCTGGCACTTACCCCCCAAAGAAACCATTCTTCTCAGATGTTTGCCTTGGATTAATTTCTCTTCTTTTTGAGCTCCATATGAATGGAACCATATGGAATGTGCTCCTCCGTGTCTGGCTTCTTCCACTGACAATCATGTCCATGAGATGCATGCACGTCGTGGCGCATGGTAGTAAGCTGTGCTTTTTCATTGCTCTATAACCTCCCATTGCATGAAGTATACCATCAGTTGTTGATGTATTCTTTTGATGGAATTTCGGGTTGTTCCAATTTTCATCTACTAAGAATAAAGATGCTATGAGAAAGTGGCATTTTTTAGCTGAGTAAAATTTAACTTGATATGTAGAGGTAGAGAGGGTGGGGAGGAACATTCGAGAAGGAAGGAATGACCCTGGCAAAGGCCTTTGGCAGGAGGGATCCTGCAGGTGGGTGTGGCTGATGGGGAGCCCTTCCTGGCCTCACATTTCCAGGAACGTTAGCAGTGTTGATCGGGCCGAGCCCCTGCTGAACCGGCCTGGTGTGTGGCCCTCTGCATGGCTTCCCACTCTTCATATGCCTTCCCGACCTGTAGAGGCCAGACAGCTAAAAGACTGCATTTGCCAGGCTCCCTTGCAGCTCGGCTCTGGATAGGAGCTAGGGTCCATCAAATAAGCAAGTGGCATGAGGTGAAGGAGGCAGAGGGAGGAGGGCCTTCTTCTTGCTGCTTTGGCTGTGTTGTGTCCTCTGACAGGGTCATTGGGTCGTGAGATTTTTCTGCAGCAGCATCCCAGCATCTGGTCTTGGGCTGCTGAGCTGTGGGGCGGGGCCTGATCCCAGCTCCCTGCACCCAGGGGAGATGTGCTTAAAGTGATGCCCCTGATTGTCCACCTGGCGGTGGTGGAAGGAGCAGCACCCTCCCACCCTGTAGGCAGGTCCTGCAGGGACCCGGAGACCCGCCCCCAGAGGCCCAGCCAAGGATCTCTCACCCAGCCTTCTCAATGATTTCAGAAGTACCCGTCACTACATCAAGCCCCACATGCTCCAAACACCTGGAGGTGCCATCTCACACCCATGGGGACGGCCACTATCAAAAAACCAGAAAGTAAAAATGTTGGTGAGGATGTGGAGAAATTGGAACCCTTGTGCACTGCTGGTGGGAACGTAAAATGGAGCAGCTGCTATGGAAAGCAGTTGGCAGTTCTTCAAAAATTAAAAATAGCGTCACCATATGATCCAGCAATCCCACTTCTGGGTATATATCCAAAGAATTGAAAGCAGGTTCTCCAAGAGATATTTGCACTCCCCTGCTCATTGCAGCGTTATTCACAGTAGCCAAGAGGTGGGGGCAGCCCAAATGTCCATCGACAGGTGAATGGATATGCAAAATGTGGTATGTGCACAGAATAAAATATCTTTCAGCCTTAAAAAGCAATGAAGTCCTGTCACAGGCTACAACATAGATGAGCCTTGGGGACACCATGCTAAGTGAAATAAACCCATTCCAGAGAGACAGATACGGTACGATTCCATTTCTATGAGGTTCCTGGGATCATCAAATCCACAGAGACACCAGAAAGGTGGTTGCCAGGGGCTGGGGGCAAGGGAATGGGGAATTAGTGTTGAGTGGTGATAGAATTTCAGCTTTACAAGAGGAAAAGTGTTCTTTTCATTAAAATGGTAAATTTTATTTTATGTGTATTTTACAAGTGCCCCCTCCAGCTAAAAAATAACCCCTCTGAAATACCTGGAAAAGTTTCCCTGCTGCAAGTTTTTCACCCCTCGGTCAGAGCCTTTACATGTGTCATCTTGACCGCTATGCACAACCTCCATGAAAGACAGATGCACTAACTGGGGACCACCTGACAACCAAGACCCCGAAAATCAGTGAGAAGCGTGAATACCATGGCTGGCGAATGGTCTGGCTGGGACTGGATTTCGTACCTGAGCCCAGATTCTGTGTTCTTTCTACTACAAAACATTCCCCTTCTCTGCCTCCTCTGGCCCCCCACTGCCCGCATAAAGAAGGGAGGAGGGGAGGAGGGGAGGCCTTTGGGGAGCCAACATTTTCATTTCCCAGAGAGAAGAGGAAGAGGAAGAGCACTGCCCAGTGATTCCATGGGAGGAGGGTGGGCTGCTTTTGCCTGTACAGCAACTGCCCTCCTGAACAGCCTGGGGGCAGACCCCCTTCCTTGTTCTCAGTGCATTTGGATCGAGTGGAGTTGCAGATGGGGGGGGGGTGTAGAATGGGCAGGGGGGCTGAAGCAAGCCTCAGAAACAGGAGATTGGCTCCAAGTGGCCCAAGGCTGAGCCTCCAAACAGTTCCAGCCAGGCCATCCTGAGTGTGCAGGACACTGATGCTCCTGTGGACATTTCCCGTAAGGTCACACATTCTGACTACACCAGGATTTCTAAGCAGGGACTCTGATGGGGAGCATGGAGGGACCCATTGCCCTCCTGGGCCCTAGCTGAGTCCTGCATCCCAGGACGTGTCCTCCACTGCCACCTCCATTATATCCTTACATGGAACAGCATTAACTTTTTGAGGCACACACACACCCTTGGAAGGGAAAAAGATCCCGTCTTATCTGAACCTTGGGGACAGTGACCTGCAGAGTGAGGGTAGCTCGGGCCCTGCCTGAGGACTTGTCAGGAAGGCAAACCAGCTGGGTGCAGTGACGCTCACCCACCAACATCAGCTGTCCTGCCGTCCCACCAGGAGGCAGGGGGGGGGGGCGGGCGGGGGCGGCTCCTCAGCCCTCAGCCTGCCCCAGGACCTGGAGAAGTGCTGGAGCATGAGCCAGGAGTGCCACCTACTGGTAACAAGCTGAAG